ACGGTGGAGCTCTGTCATACCTGTCATAATCACAAACTTAAAGGTGGCCCAAAGGATAGAGGCCTGATCTCCCTAAAAGAGAAGGAGCTGCATGTTGAGTTCCCCCACATGGCCAATGGTTCAATCAGTCACATCTACAGAATGAAACGCCAATAAAAATGTTAAATACTGAAGCTCGGATGAACCTCCCTGGTTGGCGATGCTCTGAGTGTTGTCACACGTCCCAGCCAACAGGAGGAAAGGCCGTCCCGGACTCCACAGGGAGAGGACAACCGGGAGCTTTGCGCTTATTCCTTTCAGACTTCATGCAAGCATCTCTTTCTTTGCTCGTTCTGATTTGTATCTTTTTGCTGTCATAAAACGGTAATCATAATTTTTTAAAAATGGCCGAAAGAAATATATGAGAGGATTGTTACTTTGCAAAGCGTAAGGGGGAAATGGGCCCTGAGGGTGACAATGCCTGCAGGAAATTTCTCTCTCCTGCCCCACGTCCTTCCTTTCATGCTTCTGTTCCCACCACCACCCCACATGAGGCTGCATTACCAGAAATGTGGGGCCACTTTCTGTTAAGGAGGCCAGACGAGAAGGAAGGAAATGGTACTGCAGCATTCTGAAAGATGACCTGTCCTTTTTCCGGCCAAGGAGCCAAATGGCAGCCATTTAAAAACCTGGCTTTTCAATTATACAACTGATTGAATGCTGAATCCTTAAGAAGTGAATTTTCTTTACTTTTTTAAATACCTTTCTATTATTTCTAAGCAAAATAAAAGTTTGCTTGAAGGTTTCCCAATTGACAAAAGTCACACAATTTAATGTAAAATATAAAACCCAATGTGTCTATCGTTAATAAATTATGTCTCTATGCTTCCCCCCCCCCACCCCACCCCCCTACTCACAAAAAAACAAACCACCTGGATTTGGGAGTCCTCATTTATATTGTAAAAGACTTTAGCTGAACAGGGTGATCATTTTATTACGTGGGTCCTATGAACACAGAACAATGAAATCCCTTCATAAATGTAACACTGCATTTAGGGACCAAGAGTGACTGGATTGGAAAAGGGACACTTGTTACCTTCTTAACATTGATGGAAATACTGCCCTACCTCCTCCTGAGGCAAGTTAATTAACACTAAGGGTTTAAGGACATTTTGAGGGAGAGTGCACAAAATTGAGAGAGGGAAACTTCAGATTAGGGCGACTTTTATTTGATTCAAAACCGTGTGTCTTCTAGTCTCTTGAATTTACTGTGGTGATGACCAGAGAGTCCAAGCAGAAGACAGACCCCAGGGGTGAAGGCAGCCCAGGAGAGGTGATGGAATTCCTTCCCAGACATGTTGAAAATACCCAGGAAGGGCGCAGGATGCAAGGAATAAACTCTGCTCCCACCACCTTACGCCACGAACTTGCAGAACTTTATGAAGAATTTGTATAAAATCTCAGAAAGAATTTGTGTGGCCCACTTTTGATTCAAGTCTATCATTCAATGGGTCACATAAGCCTGTGGTCACATCCGGTTTGCTTTACCAAACTATCTGGGGAAAGCACTGACCATTTTGGTACATGGCAGGTGACCTGAACAATTAGGTAAAAAATGCAAATAGTGTGGGGAAGCTTGACCTGCCACCACAGGTCCTTCCAATAAGCTCCAGGGCACCCTCTGTGTTCACCCTCCCGACCACTGGACATACACCATCGTAACGAGCTGTTTACTTGCCTGTCTCCCCAAAATCCTTCAAGCCGGGGACTGTGTCCTATTCGCCCCTGTAACCCCTCTGCTGGCACAGAGGAGACGACCAATCACATTTATGAAATGAATAAACAAATGAATGAAGAGCAAAGTGCTTCCTTTCTAGAGTAATTAATTCTACCTCACCTAAATTAAGTCTGTTTAAGTGTGAGGAAATGAATGGGTATAGTACAGAGCATGCAGATATAAATGATTATCTCATTTAATAATGAGCTGGGACCAATAATAAAAATTGCCTGCTGTCTGCTCTGCCAAGTAGCCCTATCTGTTAACTAACATTAAAGATCTAATTTAATTAAATCTCGAACAAGCTCAGAAAATCTACTGAGAGCACTTTGTTTAATTACAGTCAGGGGGCAAGCACCAATCCTATTGATCTGGTCAGTTCAAATTCTATACAATCAATGTGGGTAGTGAAAAAAAAAAGTGATCCCAACTGCTTTTCAGGCAGCTTTGATGAACTGTGGATTGGGAAGTGCCATAAAGGCAGCAAAGGCAAACCAGCCACGTACCATGTGGTATCGCAAGGAGGGCAGTGAAAGCATACCTCAGACACTCCACAGAGCTGCACATGACGAAGAACAGAAGACAACCCACCACCAGAAACAGATTCCTCCTCGGGGAAATGAAACATAATGAGTGGTGGTGAGTGGAAGTCGTCCAGCATTGAAGGCTAGTAAACTGGCATTCGAAGGCATCTAGCAACTTCTATGAGACCCACAACTGTCTTGAAATAAAAGGAAATAGATCCAATTCATGGGTATGTATACAAATTCCTGAGGACATTTCCAGTTGAGGAAAAGGTACAAGTTCCTCGACATATTTTTATTTGGAGGTAATTGAAATATAAATTATATACATTTAATATAAAACCATATTAAAAGACAGAAAAATATGAAAAACACCACATAGTCACTGCAAAACTTAATTGACCATTTAAGTATGATCAGAAGCGAGGTTAAGCGCATTATGAGTATTAACTAATTTCCCTGCGTTGGGTATTAGCATTGTCCCCACTTCACGGCAGAGTAAACCACGGCACAGAGAAGTTAGGTCACAGACTCATGGTGACTTGGTAGGTCAGGCTGTGACCTGAGGTGGTCAGGCTCCAGACCTGGCACAGAGCATCCAAACAATGCAGTTCTTAGGACTAACCTCCAGAGTTGGAGAAAATACTTGAAGAAGGGGACTGGCTTTTTATCTTTTGCTGGTCACAATCCAGGGCTCTCTTGTGCTTTAGTAACTCAAGTTAGGGGAGGAAATTTATTCTAAACCACAATATGTAATTACACCCAGGACCAACATTTCCTTCACAAAACATGCACCATCAGAATGCACATGCTAAGAGCAAGCACACCTAATTAGGGCATTAGTCATGATCATCAGGGAGCTCAGCCCAGGAAATTACAGGTGGTGGGGGCCTTAGCACGGAGGAAATGTCATCGGCTGGCCCAGATTAAGTCTTTGCTGACGGGGATGATTTACACCTGCTGATGCAAGGATGAAGAATGGCATCTGATACAGCTGGGTACTGGAAACAAGCTTATTATGCACATGAGTTCAGACAAAATGATGTTCAGATCTGAGCGGCAGGGATGCTGGCCTTTTAATTATAACATTAGCCACAAGTGAGGAAAAGAGCTGATAACGTTCAAAAATAGTAATTTCTTCCACACTCAAACGTACATGTGGATTAAAAACAGAATGAGTTATACATGCTGACCTTTTGGAAGAACAAGGTATTTCCAAGATGTTCTTTAGAAGTCAGGGGAAGAGAGAGAACAATTACTAGATGTCTTTTTCCCCCTCTCTAATTCAACCTAATCTGTGTGCAAAATTTCCAGTTAGAGCAAAACTAGAAAGCAAACTTCTACTATCGCCAAGATTGAGAGAGAAAGGGGTCTCGTAATTCAAAGTGGAGTTCAGAGGGAATTGCTTCTGATTGAAGAATTCCTTGCTTCACTGCCAGTCGATTCACAGATCAAATTCACAGCCAAACAAAGAAGTATTTGTGGGTTCCTGAGGAAAAAACCCCTCCATCTTTGGAAAACTGAGTGCTTTTTACAATTCTGCCAAACATTTCTATCCTAAAACATCAGCGTCTTTAGTAATGGATATATTTCCTACACAGAGTGATTTGCAAACTGCTTCAGGCCATAGAGCCATGGGTACATGGGGGTGAATACCAGGAATTACACACACATACTTAACATATATACACATACACAAAACACACATATAGACACAGCTATACATACATATAATTATTTTTAACCTTAATAAGTCTGCACTAAAAGAGTTGACATTTCTCATTATATTCACTGAAAAGTGAGAGCAGCTGCTATAAATTAAAAGAATGTTAGAAAAGACTGCAAAGGGGAAAAGTCTATATCAGTGGTTCTCAACCTTGGCTGCACATTAGAATCACCTGGGAATCTTTTTAAAATCCTGATTTCTGGGCCTCATCCTCCGGAAATTCTGTTTCTTTGTTATGGGGTGGGGCCACAACATTAGTAAGTAACAAAGAAACAGGATTTCTGGAGGATGAGGCCCAGAAATCAGGATTTTAAAAAGATTCCCAGGTGATTCTAATGTGCAGCCAAGGTTGAGAACCACTGGTCTATATATTTTTGCAAATTATAAAATAGTATTAGTTAACTTAAAAGAAGAACATTTTAATGTAGCTGGGGGCAGACGTGCACCCCCGGGAGAATGGGTTGAGAATCACTGATATAATTTTACCATCCACTTAGATTTGCAATTCTGGAGAATAGTATTGTGTGTGTTTTTTGTTTTTCTTTTTTTTTTAAATATATTTTATTAATTTTTTACAGAGAGGAAGGGAGAGAAATACAGAGTTAGAAACATCGATGAGAGAGAAACATCCATCAGCCGCCTCCTGCACACCCCCTACTGGGGATGTGCCCGCAACCCAGGTACATGCCCTTGACCGGAATCGAACCCGGGACCTTTCAGTCCGCAGGCTGACGCTCTATCCACTGAGCCAAACCGGTTTCGGCTTGTGTTTTTTTTTTTTAAATCTGTTCGCCACACCTCAGCACTTTTAAATGATTTTCCTTTCAAGAATCTCTTAAAAAAAGAAAAACTGACTTCATAACCAGAAAGGGACGGCGATTCCAAAGGCTATAAACGCCCCAGAATTCCCGGGGCTGCCCTGGGCTCGGCACGCTGGCTTCTCTGGCCCACACCCTCGGGAAGAGGCCCGGGCCCGTGGACTCGGCATGCTCACCCTCCTCCGGAGCCGGTCCCGCTCCTCCCGGATGGCGTTCATGGTGGCCTTGGTCCTGTTCAGCTCCTCCTCTTTGCTGCACAGCATGGCGGTCAGGCTCTCATTCTCTTCCCTCAGCCCAGCCAGCTCCTTCTCCCAGCGAGACCGCTCCTCAGCCAGGTTGGGATACAGATCCCGGCCGAGTACCCCCTCGATCTCCTCGACTGTCTAGAAAATACAGACACAAAAACAAGCCAGGTGAGTGGGAGAAAGCGGAGGGGAAGGAAACATGCTGGACGGAGCGAGTGTCCACAGAGGAGGGGGTTCTACAGCCTCCTCACTGTCAAGTGTCATCATGATCAGTGACACCCCCAAATCATCCTCTCCCTATTCTCAAACCAGACTCTGTGGCTTGCTTGGGTCCTACTCTGTGTTACCCAGCAGTCCCCGGAGTAAGAAAAACACAGTCCCTCCCTGGCACTAACTGTCCACAATGTTTATCTCCTTCGTCCACGTTCCAGAGCTGGTGACTACGCACCAGCAGACAGCAAGCCAGTTAGTGATCCCGACAAAGCAAACGTGGAGTTGCCAACTGCACACAAAATCTAGCTTGCAGTTTCCTGAATTACAGGCCACCCCTGTTGCAACTTGGCAACCAGAGGCCACATTGCCGTTCCCAGCTTTGGTGTCACAGCAGAACTGAGAGGGTGTGAATGAGGTTCAGTCCCAAGGTGCCCAAGCCGAAAATAAACCTGTGACACAGAAACGAGGAAGCTCATTGTGGAGGTTTCTAAGACAGCAGGGATTTAATTAATGAATGAGACAGCTGTGAACTAAGAAGAGCAGAATCTTAATAGCACTTGGAGAGTTTTTAAATAATCCATTTAAAACACAGTATTAATGGAGAAAGAATGTGCAGAAAACTGGGGAAAAAAAGGAAGAGCTCATTCTGGTGGCTTTCAGAAGCCATTCATTCACATTTCTTGTCGTTTGGAAAAGGAAGCAGAAGCCAAATGACATGAGAGAGGAGGGAGGATTCCTAGGTCGGAGTAGAAGGCAGTGAAGAGAGGTGATGAGAAACAGGTCTGGATAACAAAACAAAAAAACAACAACAAAAGGGGAGGTCACTCGTGGCTGCTCACACTGGTTTCCCCATCGCGCTGCCACTTCCCCTGTGTTGTGCATTGTCCTTCCTCTCAAATCTGGGGCCTGCTCTGTCCCTTGCTGGTTGGCAGAAGTCCTTATCTTCTCCTTCCCTCTCAAAGCTGAGGCTGGGACTAGGACCCAAGTTGACATTAAAATTAAATATAGGGCCTGGGAGACTCCAGACAAAGAAATAACAGTGGTTGCTTCTCCAAACCACATCACTGATACATTAATAATTGAGATGAATAAAGATGGAAAACCAGCTGTGTTATAAATATGAATCATGGTTCACCTTGAGATACCACAGCTCTTTTGTAAGATCCAGGGTTTCTGTTGATAGACACTTGGGCCTAGAGTGCTAAGACATTTTTTTTCCCCCCAAGTAACACATCACATTTTCCCTTTCCATAGGCCCCTCTCTGACTTTTCAGAATCAATCACTATGCCTAGGTCACTAAGCTAGGGTGAAGTAATATAAAGACCCCAGAGGCCCAGTATCAACAAGACTTGACGTTCCCATTGTTCATGATGAGTCTGTGCAGATGCAGCAAATTCCTCTCTTTTCATTCTCCTTTGGAGGTAAGATGAACGATGTGGAAGGCGTGGCTGAGACCGAGTGCTCAGGATACAGGACTCACTGAGGCCTGGGACTTCCCCCTTATTAGCACCGTGAATTGATTAACTCCTGAAATAATATTCTAGAGGCCATAAAGCGTTAATAAAACTTCCAAGTTAATCTTTGGGCTACATGATGAACCGTACCAAAATGAGGTGGTTCAATACTAGCAGTCTAAGAGTTTCCAAGAAAATTGTCATTTTTGCTGCGAAGTCAGTGATCCTGACTGCTGACATAATGACTTTTTCTAGTGCAATTCAGCCCAACAAAAATGTATAGGGCTCCGGCTTCTATCTGGTGGCCCAATCAATGAGTATGGCTTTCTCAGAAATACTCATTCCTCACAGGTATTTGAGAAAACCACACTTCAAAAGAGAGGGATCTGATCATTTCCCCCCTACGATCGCCAAGAGCCACACAGAGGGTGGGGAGGGTGTACCTTAATAGCCAAGTCGCAGTGCTCGCTGGCCGTGGTGAGCTGCTCGATGTGCCTGTCCACCTCGGCCACGGACAGGCTGCAGCTGCTCTTCTTCCTGCAGCAGACGACGTTCTCCAGCCCCGTCAGCACCCGCTGCAGCTCCGAGTTCAGGTCGCTGCAGTTATCTGAGGGTGAACGTGGGCAGAATGAGGGAAGCAGGCAGGTGGGCAGCGAATGCTCTTCATTTCGTTCACCATGAAAAACCCATTCTAGTAAAATGAAATGGCAATAGAGCTTGAAATTTCAAAGTTTAACTCTGGGCAGCCGAATCCCAGCCTGCTGGCATCCTGAGGCTTGGAGACAAGGTAAAACCTCTACTAAGGGGTCGCAGACTTCAGTCCTTTTCTACTTAGCCACGCCAAGCTGATCCTCTCGTCTTTCCCCTGAGGGCAGCCCCAACTTGAGGTTCTTTAATAAGAACAAAGAAGTGTCAGAGGCGCTGGTGGGGCCTCATAAGCCGTCTGGCCTACCTTCCTGCTCAGCCATTCAGACAAACACTGGCTCCAGAAAGAGTGTCCGCAAAAAATAAAGATATCATAATATTACTGAAGAAACAAAATAAAACCCCCCAGAGTTAGCAGAGACACTAGGCATTTTAAAACATGGAAACTGTGTAAGACCCAGCCCTTGCCCTCAATGAGCTTATAATTAGGACATGTGGCTGCCCTGGTCACTGTTCCCTGCCTGGACCCTCACAGGAGGACAAAGTGGATAAGCTGCAGGAGCGAGTTTTCTGGGTCCCCCGACTGTGGTCACACAGCCCCAATCACTCACCACCAGTCACCCTAGCACCAGCGCTGCTCAACACAGGGTGGGATGCTCTTTCAGAGTCTGTGGCGTATTCTTCTAAACACAGACTTAGAACAAACGCTCAGTTCCTTCCCGTGGCCTACAGCCCCCTGCACAGTCTGGCCCCCTACCAACACTAAAGGCTGAGGCAGTTGGAGTCTGTACAAAAGGTCAGAGGTGTATGTTACGGAATCAGAAGAGCAATAGAAGCTGAGACAAGGGACTAAGTGGGTTCTAGGACGAACAAAAGGTGTCTCATGTATAAATCAAAATCATAATGAGTTATCACCTCACTCCTCAGGATGGACACTATATATATACAAACAACAGAAAACAACAAGTGTTGGCAGGGCTGTGGAGAAGTTAGAACCCTGTGCCCTGCTGGTGGGAATATAAAATGGTGCAACCGCTGTGAAAAACAGTATGGCAGTTACTCAAAAATTAAAAATAGAACTCCCATATTATGTAGCAATCCCATTTCTCTGAGTATATACCCAAAAGAATGGAAAGTAGAAATGAAAAAGATATGTGTACACCCTTGTTTATAGCAGCAGTGTTTACAATAGCCAAAAAGGTGGAAAGAACTCAAATGTTCATCGGCGGATGGACAAACAAAATGTGGCATATGCACGCCATGGGGTATGACTCAGCCTTCCGAAGGAAGGCAATTCAGACAGGCTGCAACATGGATGGACCTTAAAGACACTGGCCTAAGTGAAACAAGCCCGTCACAAAAGGACAAGTACTGTGTGATCCCACTTACATGAGGTTCTTGGGGTAGGCAAGAAAGTAGAATAGAGGTTCCAGGGGCTGGGGGAGTGGGGCAATGTGGCTTAATGGATACAGAGTTTGTTTGGGAGGATGAGACAGTTCTAGAAACAGATAATAGGGATGGGTGCACAATTCTGTGAATGCACGTATCGCCACTGAGCTGCACACCTGCCCTGGAACACTGAGCAGACCCCCTGGCTGTGCTGTGCTTTAGGCAAGAAAGGTAACGGCTTGGCTCCACATCCATGAGACAAAGAGGAGGCCATCTGTATCAAATACACATTCTCCCAACGGAGGTTCTTCATATCTTCCCACAGAAGAATGTGAGGTTGCGTAGAGCAAACAAAAGGGGAAACACAGTGATTAGGGCCAGGGAGAGGCTGAGGAAGCCAATAAAAGTGAACAGCTGTTGGGCTGACTACTCTGCTTAACCATCACACAAGCGTCCTGGCAGCCAGAGCAACAATGAATGATCTCCTGTCAGGGAGGAGGAAGTGTTCCAGTTTCACAAGGGAGACTATGTGTTTTCAGCAATAGATGCTACAAGAACTCAGGTACATGGACTTCATGTGTGGCATGAAGCGATGTGATGGCCAGTCTCCTCAGCCAGTTTCACACATATGCAGATTTCAAAGGCTTTCTTCTTATACACGCCTTCAATTAAAATTAAGCTGTCGACCATTAAAGTACAATGCAAAGGGAGTCCTGGGAAGGACTAAGCTGACAGTCTTGGCATTCTGCCTCCCAGTTGTCTAATTGGCTGCAAAGATGAAAGAGAGCGCACAGAAGAATAAATGGAGTGGACATCTCCCTTTGACCAAAGGATGCAAATGAGCCACCTGCAGCAAAGATGTTTCGTGTGGAGGGCAGGGTTTGATGGCTGGCACAGCCTCTTTGTTTTTTAAACAATTTTTAAATTAATTGCCAACATTTAGAAACCATTAGAAGTTATGACTATTCTTGTAAAATTAGAAGGTCTGGCCACACTGGGCCCCACTCGGCACACAACAACAATCTGCAGCATGGCCAGCGTTGGACGCGGCATGGCCACAGCGCCCATGGCTCTGCCCACCTCCCAGGCCTGCCCACTGCCCACCTCCCAGGCCTGCCCCTGGCTGTCCTTCCTAAAGGTAACTTTTCCCAGCTAGACTTCTGCAGCAGCTGCAGAAAAGACAGCTCAGGTTACATTCTTCTGGAGAACTCAGAGCCTTAGGCTTTCCTGTTGCCGTTTGAGGGAAGACCCAAGTTACTTCGGAAATGTACTTGGCTATGAAAATTAAGCCTAACCAGCTTTCTTGCTCACTTAAACACATACTGGTGGGCTGGTTTCCTTCTTTCCCCTGACCAAGTTATCATGGAATCTAAAACATATCATGTGGCATACCACACCCTGCTAAAAAGCTTTCAATTAAGGTGGATCCTCAAGGCGGAGGCCCTTCCCCTGAAGTTAGAGGTACTAGGCACAGTGCACTCAGCAAGTCTGAGAAAGGGAAGTGGCTGGGGGCCTGCTGTGAACGGTCCTCACGCCTGACCTGTGTGGGGAGCAGCAGATCAAGCCGTAACCATGACCCCCACTGCCTTCCGAGGACCGACACGCGTCCTCACCTCTGTTCTGACTGGGCACACGTCATGCCTTACAGAGGAGAGAGCTGCAGATGCTTTCAGCTTCAGCACCGACGCTCTGCTAGGAAGCAGGTCTGATGTCCTAGGGATGGAACAGCTCTGAGCCTGTTGTGGCTCTAAGGCTATAACCAGGAAGACTGGTGCTTTCCTTTCAGCAGTCCTCTCTCCTCTGCGTGCAGCCAGGCCCTCCCTAACTCCAGTGAGAAAAAAGCAAAACAACACAGAAAATGATAGAATAGTTGACTTCCAGGTCTGAACACAGACGACGGGAAGGTCTACGAGGAAAGGAGGGAGTGTCCACTGAGGTTACCCTGCGTGATGTACAAGCATCTGTGTCTACCGAAGACAAGAGAGTAAGAACGATGTCGGTATAGTTTAAAAACACCTCAACATCACCAATAGTGAACAAACTGACATATGACCCTCCTGCACCTTACTGTGTGTTGTGTCTTTTTTTTTGGTGATGGATGTTAACTAAATTCATTGTGGTAATCATTTTATAATTATGCTGTACACCTTAAACTTCAGTGTTGTATGTCAATTATATCTCAATAAAACTGGAAGAAAAAAGAGAGGAAGGCATAAGTGGGTAGGGATTCTAAAAAGGAATGAGATAGGGGACAGGGAAGGAGGGTGGTCCTGAGGGAGAGTCGAGTCAGGCCCTCAGCTCTAGGAGAGGTGAGGAATGGAGCTGAATACGGGGAGAGAGAGATAAAGGGGGCAGAAATTTTTCTGAGAACTTTATTAAAGGGCTTTTACTTATTATAGAAAATGAATGTTCATTCTAAATAAAATTCTAAGCAGAAAAGTTCAAAGAAGCAACTAAAAATGATCCATAATCCTCCAACCTCATTTTAAGCTCTTAGAATTTTATTTTCTATATCTTTTTCCATAAATACATAGATCATGCTCTACATAATATTTTATTGTGTTTTTTCACAAATATTTCTTAAATTATTAATTTTATGACTACTAAAATTTCATTCTTTGGAAACACCATCATTTTTTTGGCATATCACAGACATAGTTCTCTTAAATTCCTAGACATGAAATAAATGGGTCAAAAGATTATGAATATTGGCACATATTATCCTGTTGCTGGGAAAATATTATACATTTCCATTTGTGAATTGTGCAACTTACTTTCAAATGGTTTGGAAAAAGAATTTCTGAGTGCTGTGCACAATCAAATGTGACAAAATGTTAACAATTGGTGAATCTAGGCAAAGGATTTGGGGGGTTCGTTTGATCTTTTATGTAAGCTTGAAGTTTTTCAAAAATAAAAAGTTGAGGAGAAAACAAATACCTCAACATTCAAGGCAAGAATATGCTCAAGTCTAGTTTAACTCAGGGACCACTGTGACGATCAACTCCTCAGTGCAGTTACGAGAACAGGAATGTCTCCTGAAAGCGCCAGGCCACACCCAAATATCCCCGAGCACACAGGCTCGGGCCAGGGTGATGGGGCCAAGAGGAGTGAGCCGCCACCCCGCCAGGCCCCCACCAGGCCCCAACCTCACCGGGAAGAAGAACCTATTCTGTTTCTTTCCCAAAGAAAACGAGGTTGCATTTTCAAGACTTCTATTTCAGCCAGATCGTATGGGTCTGAGATTTGTTTTCATTTTTGCTGCTGTCACTGTGCAGTTTTGACAGTTTATCTCTCTACAACACTAAACTTGGTCTTAAATATGGTGAAGGCGTAAGAAAGATAACCCAGCATCAACTGCCGGAAAACTGTCCTTCAGCCACGAGAACCCCCGTTGCTGGCTATGTCTTCAGGACCCCGGGCTCTAAGCTGCCCCAGCGCCCCACAGAACTCGCAGCCCCACCCGCCCACCCCGGCCTTTGCCGTGTAAAAGTCCTGGCAGTGGCTTCCACAGAACAAGGCTCCAACGACACATATGTAGAAAAGTTCAAGTTCACACATAATCATTTTACTTGT